TGTGAGGAAGATTGACATGCTTTGATTTTTCTACTCGCATCCCGCATTTGGACCTCGAGGACGAGGTCCAGCTTAAGTGTGAGGAGGTAGAATATCAGATATGATTATATTCTAGAAAATTATTTTCTTGATCAATAATTAGTTAATGAATTTAGTTTTCAATTACTTTACATTTTTCTTTTATTCTCTAATAAATTAAATAATCATTTACTCATTTCTAAGTTTAACAATGAACTTTTATTTAAAGTTGTGCATGAGTTGGGTTTTAGTTGAGTAACTTAAGGTTGTTAATTACATAACGATTATAAATCTTTTGGTCACTTTCTTTTTAATTGAAATAAATAAACAAAGATAATTGTGAGGGTTGCGCTTTAGTGACGAATTGGGAATCCTATCTCCGAAAGGAGCTCTGCTTCTCCCGTGAATCGCATAAGGCGAGGGAGCAAGTATGCATATGTAATCGGGTAAACTCACAACCCAAACCATTGTTCCAATTGTTTGCGTTTATGTGCTACATTGAGTATCCTATCTCCTTTGGAGCTCTACCCTTCTATTATTATTAAAAGAAAAAAAAATCAATTCATAAGCAATAAAAAGGGCTTTATGGGATAACTCACAAAAAAACAAAAAAAATATATAAGTTAATCAATTGAGATAAGTGGACCAAGAGACTACAAATCGTTATTAATTACTGACCTTAGGAGATCTTGGAAGAAAAACTTACTCACGCAAACTTTTAAATAAGTTCATTGTTAAATTTTTTGAAAAGAGTGATGAGATATTTATTTGTTAGAATATAAAGAAAAAGATGAAGTAATTAATGCTAATGAAATTAACTGATTATTGCAAGGAAGTAGGATCTTAGAATATAATCAAACAATCTTCTTCATTCTTGTGTTGGTAGATGATGAGTTGCTTGAAAGCAAGCAACGTTTAAGTGTGAGGAGATTGATATGTCCGTTTTGTACTTATCTTTTTACTCATATTTAATACGTTCTTGTATCATTTTAATTATCAAACTAGTCAATTATTTATTATTTTTATCAAAAATATATGTTTTGGTAAATTGATAATAAAAAGAATGTCTTTGAAGTAATATATAAAATTGGGCCAAGAATAGAGTAAAAAGAGTAATTTTTAATAGAAAAACAATTCTATCTCACAAACGGTGCGAAATTAGAAGTCGGTGCAGAAGGAAAAAATGTTCGGAACGAAATTTTGAGTAAGGTAACATCGGCAGATTTTGGCAACCTGACAGGCGACTTGGCCGGCGGCAGCCTGGCCGTCGGTCAGAAGGCGGCGACGGCGAGAAAAGGCTCCAAAAGCGAGGGGGAGCGCTGGCGCTGGCAGGCTGCAGCCTACCTGCCCGCCTGTATTCCGGCGATTCTGGAGAATTCTTCAGCGGCGCCGGCGGGCTGGCCGGCGGGCGCCGGTGTGCTCGCCGGTTGGTGATCCTCTTCTATAAATGGCCAGCGCAAGTCTTCTCCTTTCCTAGGCTTCTCCAATCGGTTCTTCCCCTTTTTGGGGCAAAATTCTTCACTTTTTACTTCTAAATATTGTACTAAATTTGAGTGGGTTAAAATTTCATCATTCCAAATTAATTTTCAAGTCCTTGAAGTACTGTAAGTTTTACTCTACTTTTTATTGTAATCTTTATTGAACTTTTTATCAATAAAATTTTACTTTGTTGATGATTGGTATGTGTTCCAAGATTTTAAATGTTATTATGATGATGATGAATGTTTTGTTTAAAATTATGAATTGGTAATTTAAAATGGGTTAGGATTCGGAACTAAGATTTAAGCAATTTAATTTCATCTATTTATTAGTAATTGGATTAATTGTTAGAAAATGAATTAACCTTTATTAATTAATAAAATTGTTTTTATTATTAATTAATCCTTGGAAATTAATCTTTTACTTTGTCTATGAGATAAAAAGATTAATTAGGCCACACGTTCCAAATAATAGCCTTAAAACCCAGGAACCAACCACTACAAACCAAAGCTCAAAACCCCCACAACCCCAGCCCCATCCCTGAATTTTATCCCACTTTGGAGACAGGATTCAATGAGTGTTACCCCATACTTTGGAAGTGGATGTTGCTAGGAAGCTTCCTCATGTTCACATTCAATGTATTATGTATTTTCCCCTTCCCCTCTCCCTATATAACTCAGGCCATATGGCCAGTGTAACACATCTTTGAATATTGAAAACTATTTACTCTTTGAGTATTATTAAAATAGTGTGATGCTATTTTTGCCAAATTCCTAATTCTATATCTTAAGAGTGGTTATCTTAA